TCTAACCTTAAACTGCTTTCTTCCTTTCATTATCTCATAAAATCTCATTAAAGTCTCCTATACATAACCAAACCTATTTATTGGTGTTGGTTAACCTACGTAATATATACCATGCATTGTTCTCACTTGTAATCAATTCTCTATAAAACTTTGTAGACACCATTCATTCTCTTCTTGATTTGTAATTACCATATCAATATGATATTTTGAATAACTCAAAATATTCAAGCTCGCATCCTCTTTCCAAAGCATCACTAAGCATTCACTTCTTTCGTTTGCATCTACTCCAAACATCTATTCATTTTACATCTTCTTTTCATTTTACCTAGCTTAGTAACATTTGAAATAGTTTCACTTAAGAAGGCCACCTCAAGATCTTCTCTCTTTAACATTTTTCTTAAGAGCTAGAATTGCTTGTGTGTTTTTAAACCCATGATAGTTTCAAGCTATACATCTTATTGATCATAATGGGATTAGGAATAGTCATCGTTGTTTGCTCTAGTACACCTTTCATGCCCATCTTTACTTCTTTTTTATTCTTTTTATCTAAATAGTCAACCTCTATTTCCATTATCCCATCCTTTTCAAGCTTCATTTTACCCATCTCCACTATTTTTTCTAGTTAAGGGTGTAAATGATACACTTGTACCTATAAGCTACTCGGTTTGACTTGAAAAACTTAAATTCAAGTCAATCATTATCGAGTTGAGCTCAAACAAGCTGAGTTCAAACATTTAGTGCTTGACTTGTGTGGCTTGCTAGCTTGTTTGAAATTTTTATTTTAAAATATATTTTTATTATTTTAATTATGAAATTACAATTTCAACCTTAAATATAAACATGTATCCAACCCTAACATAAAAATCACTAAATCAAAACTCAAAAAGCTGGAAAAAATGTTTCAAATCATTTTTTCACATTATTTGATAATTTTTAGGACATTAACAACTTTGATAGCGCCTCAAAAAGGTATAAAATTACTAAAATATCCTTTAAAGATAATTTCATAATTTGATATTCTCGAAATCAGATTTTTACAAAAATTTTTAGATTTTAATTTCATATTAATTCATGATTTATAATGCTTTAAAATCACAAAAACGAAGAGGGAAGCATTGTTTTCCAAGAAAATGGCTTAGTAACTGAAAACTTTCTAACGAGAAGAAAATGATCTTTTCACTTGGTTCTAGCTATATTAAAAATTCAATTATTAGTAGTAAGCATTCTCAAATATGGGATGATTTTGAAAGGCTGGATCTAATGGTGAAAGGTGACTTATTGCAAAAAAATAAGGAAAAATTTTTTACTATTAGATGAAGTTTGATTTAAGGACTTACATTCATTTGAATGGGATATTTTCCCACCATTTAAAAGGTTGGGATAGACGATTTTTAGATGAGGGAGGCTGGTTGGGACATGGGAAAAAATGGCAAGGAGGAGAAAGAAAAAAAATTATGTAAAAGAGCTTGGAGATCCTATAATCTCTCTACCATTTTTCTTTGCATTTTCATAAGCATTCCATAGCATTTATCATATTTTTTATACCATTTAGCTTTTGATTTTTTTTTTGTTTTAGAAATTTATAGTTTTTTTCAACATTTTATTCAAAACTTGGATCAAAATTTTATCCAACTAAACCATGGTTCGAATTGAATCACAAAGTTCAAGTAACAAAAAAAAAAAAAAAAATTCCACGATTTGCACACCATTGGGAGGTTTGGCCAAGCACAACTTCACCATGGCCAAACCTCATATTGGTTTTCTTTAGATGTTTTCTTTTCTTCTTATGTTGTTTATGAATGATTTAGTTGTTAGTTTACTTGTTATTTGTATGAAGTTTAATTAGTTTAGTAGTGAATGTTTGGTGTTTGGCTAATGTTCTTGTTTTCATGATTTCTTTTCTAGTTAGTTCATCACATGTTTGATAAAATTTTTCTCATGATATAAATGCCATCATATGTTGATTTGGTAAGTGATTGATGCATGATTTGGCTTAATGAATATATGATTTTGGAGTGGCCATGGAGGCATTCGGCCAAGCCATTCCCATGCTTGGCTGAAACCTCCAACTTTGTTCATGGCTAGATGTTGTTTGGCCCATCTTTTATTGTTTATTTTTTTGCCTTATTCATCAAAATTCCAACATGTCTATGATGATTAGATAATGAGGTTGCTTGTATTTTACATGGATTTGAGTAGTTAATGATGTATGTTTGGTTATTTGGCTAATGTTTTTGTTTTTATGATTTTTTAACTACTTTAGTTTGTTACATGCTTGATGAAATTCCTCTTGTGATTAAAATAACTTCATGTAATCAATATCTTGATGTTCGATGCATGATTGAACTAAGTGGAATGATGGCATTTTGTGATGAACCAAATGGGAGTTTCAGCCAAGCCTCCCTATGTTATGACCAAGCTCTTTGCTTGAATGGTGGCCAAATTGTTGTTTTGCTCTTACTTAAATGTTTGTGTTCTTGCATGATTCTTCAAATTTTCATTGTGTTTGATTAAATTTTCCATAAATAAAATGTTAGTTTAATAAGTTGTTCAGTTATTTTAGTGTTTATTTGCATGAATTTTAAAAAAAATGGTGAAATATGTCTTGAATTTTTTGTTAATTTTAGTATTTGATCCATTTTCATCATGTTTTTATAAGCACATTTAGTTTGAAATATAGTTTTTAAAATTTATAGATTTGTAATTAGTTTGTTCCTTAGTCATGCATTTTTCATGCATCAATATTTACACTTTTACCAATAACATTTTCGTTATTTATCGTGTGTATAATATTTACATTTTTACCAATGGCATTCTTGTAATTTACTTTTGTCACATCCCTTTTCCATAAAACCCCAAACCACCATTCACATTCACTTTTGTCATGCATTTATACTTTGTCATTCATATTCAATCATAATGCATTCATGTTATTGTTATGTTCATACATACATGCATTGGATTTATAAATGAAGTTTTTCAAAGAGAAATGTTTTTAAATAAGATGATATCTCAAATAAAAATAGCATTCAAGATCTGACCTAAATGGGACTCTCAATAGTTATCATTTATACGAGATATTATCTCAATTTATAGAATAATCTAAAGACTCTTAAGTTAGATATACTTTTGAAGCTTTACCTAAATATAGGAGAGTGAAAAATGTACCTCAATACTTAAGATGTTTTCATCTTGATTTAAAAAAAAAATTGCTTTGTTTCCAAAATAAAGAGTTGATTTGTTTTCCAAAGAAAAGGAAAATTTTCAAGTTTTGCAAAAGAAAGAAATTAATTTCTAAATATGATAATAAGACCATTTTTATTAAAATCTAAGGATAATCTATAAATAATTGGTATCATTTTTTATGAACATTGTGAAAGTGCTAATCTTTCTTATGCGTAACCGACTCTCAAAACTAACTTTTTTTTTCGCAAACCATAAAAATATTTTTTTATAAAATTGTAAACTCGTTTTAAATGTTGTATTAAAACAAATTTTTAAATGACCAATCATACTCTAAAAAAGATTAATAGCAACACTTTATTATGATTTTTATCAAAAATGCTTTATTAAGCTCCTCGTTTTCTCATTCCCCATCATCTGATAGACAGATACTTTTTGATCCCAAAACATCACGACTATATTCGTTGCTTTTTTTTTTTTTGCAACATTATTTTTTTTAGCTACAAATCCTTTGGACAACAATTATTTGTTATTGTAATAATTAATTTAATAATTACAATAATCGTTGCAAAAAGTTCTTAAAAACCATAATTTTATTGTTTTTAATTGCTTTTAATAACCAAAATTATTATTGCAAATAATCTATCCATGAAAATAATAAATTATCAAATAATTGATAATTTAAATATTTATTATTAATATAAATAAAAATTCAATAAAATTTCATGGCTAAAAAAAGAACAAATTCATTTAAAAGAAAATTAAAATTAACACATAAAATATATATTATTGTCATTTACAATTATTTATACTAAAATATATTAGAATAATTAAAGTTACTAAAATAATAAAATAAAAGAATTCTGAATGTAATCTCGCTGTGCTACAGACAAACAACAATATTTCATGGTGTAAGTCACTTGAAAAAATGAACGCAAAACTTGGAGTAAGGTTAATGAGATCTTTTGGATAATAGGAGGATCACTTGTAAAAAGGAGTAACCCACGAGATAAAAACAAGACTCTTAATAATAGCATTTTAAGCACCGCAAATTGTCTGACACTGTACACCTGTATCTCTTTTAACAGAAAACTGTATTGAGTATTGATTGTTTCAAACTAAGTTGTAAAATATTAAAGGATTGAGGAAGACACACAAAAGCAGCAAATAGATATTGCCCTCTCACTACCGGATCAACCAACGGAATGGCCTATCAGCTACATTTGTAGGGGCAAAAACAAAGCTTTTTGGAGGCTAGTGATGGTTTGCAAATGATAACCATTTTAAAACTTGGAAACCATTGCATCTTCGTCAAGATAACAAAAACAGTTTCACCGCTACCATCAACCGTATCCCTAATCAATTTCAGCTTTAGTTTACATCAAATAGAGATGTTGATCTTTGGTAAAGCGATTAAACCAAAGCTGTTTGACAATTTATGTTTCTAGCTTACATTTTGAGTTCTCTTATAGTCATTTGTTCATGTTTCTAGGTGATGTTTTGAAATTTTTTATAGTTAATTTTTTATGATTCTATCTGATCTTTTGAACTTCTTTGTATATAACAAGTTATGGTTGTTGATTGCATTTCCAAGTTCCTAATGGTTATTAAACAGATTTTACGCAATTTATGCTTTACTCGCATGATTAACTAAATAAATGCACTTTGCTAAACCGAAAAAAAGCAACCCCGGACGAGCCGGGATCATTCCTAGCGCTTTTTATATTTTGGATTTTGGACCGTATCTTATTTTTGGAAAAAGAAACATTTAGATCGAGTTAACCCATTAAATCGGGTTCAACTCCCGATCCGCTTTACGAACAAAATTGAACATCCCACCCAAAAAAGTAGAGTCAAAGTGTGAAACAGAAAGGAGTATAATCTGATGAAGCGCCAAATAATTAATTACAATTAAAAAGGGTTGATTAGATTGGTTTATTCCATCAAAATTAAATCGTCTGAATCGGATTATCTTTTCCACCTCCCAGGGTTTTCTCTTTTTCAGTTTTTTTTTTTTTCTCATAGAAAATTCGTTTCTTTGACCATTTACTTTCTCTCCAGACCAAACTCTGCCTTTTTCTAGGGTTCCTTGCGTCTTCTTCTTCTTCATTCTCGATTCTTCTCTTTCAGAACTCCGTTTCTCTTCTTTGCTCTGCCAAACACGTTTGCTTCCAATGGCTGATTTCACTTCCTCTCCTTCCGCTGCAGCTGCTTCTTGTTCCTTGTTCGAGAAGCGGATTGCAATTGCAGCTTCATCATCGTCGCCACCGTCTTCTTTCGAAGTAGCACTTGACGATGGTTTCGAAGACGGTTGCAGTATCTGTCTCGAGCCTTTCACTATTCAAGACCCTGCTACTGTACGAATCATCACTCTTTTTTGTCTTCCATTTACCCTTTAAAAAATATTAAATTTTGATTAAGCTGATGTTTTTGTTACTTTTTTTCACTGATTATCAAGCTGGGTGACAATGCTTTAGGTTGATCGTAGTTCTTTTAGATTTTGTCACTCTTTAACTAGCATTTTGGAACTATTGCCCAGTGATAAATTCTTTATTTTCCTTAAATATTTATTCTAATTGAAAACAGAATGATTTGTGGACTGTTTATATTAATCTTGTGAAATGTTATGATTTGTGGCGTGCGAGATGGTAACATTGATTGTCATCAGTTTATTACCTTTTAAAATTTTATGATAAACTAATTGTGATCGCTGATCGCATATTTTTACTGTTTGATTCTGTCTATTATTAGCTCAATTAGCTTCGAGACTACTATTCATTTTCTCCCAACTCTTGTTGTTTAGTTAGTGAACTGAGGCTTTGTATATAATTTTAGCAATGAGAAAGATATATGTATTATTTATCTGCTGTTTTGACAGCTTGATACATGGATTCTTTCTGCAATTTCTCTCTTTGATTTTGAAAATGCATATTATTTAGTTTATTGACGGCAAATGCATTTCTATTAACGCAATAGGCGAGTATTTTTACTTGTTTTCATCTAGTTATTCTGTGCTGTTTCAATATGGCGTTGTTTACTCATTTCGTGTTATAGACCTATAGTACACGCTTTCTACCTGTTTTTGCTTCTCACCTTCTAGGTGATTGCTTGAAGGATCAAGCTTTCTGAACCTTGCTTTTTGTTTCAGGTTACCAGTTGCAGACATGAATATCATCTTCAATGCATTCTTGAATGGTAGGTGTCTTTCTGATTTTTAAATTATACTCGTTTCTAGGAAACACAGTATCTTAAATGTTTTTACCCAAAAATGCAATAACATTATAGTTCTATGTTCTTTGATGCTGTCATTTCCTAATTGAACTTGTTTTTCCACTAGGTCACAAAGAAGCAAAGAGTGCCCTATATGTTGGCAGTTATTTGTCCTGAAAGACCCTGCCAGGTGTATAACTTGTTAATTCCCCTGCCTCCCCTTTGACTCTGTACATACATGTATTATTTTCAGTCTGATGCTGATAAGCAGAAACCACCCAGCTAAATATTAAGTTTGGTTCTATATGTATGCATCTTTGCAGCCAAGAGCTTCTAGATGCTGTCAGAATTGAAAGGCACTGCAGGTCTAGGAACAAATCTCCTGCTGTGATCACAGACTTGCACCATTGCCATGATGTTTTTGGTGTTGAGGAGGTGATTTATTTGGTTACTTTTAAATTTACACTTAGTAGTCTGCTCAATAAGGATCTTTTACTGATGACCTTTGCTTGTAGTCTCAGGATGCATCTCATTCAGATGACTCGGACTTTGATGAACGCATTTTGCAGCACCTAGCTGCTGCTTCGCACAGAGCCCACTATTTTCACAGAAGGGAAAGACAAAGATCTTCTGGACTTGGCCCATCCCGAGTACTTTTTTTTACCTCTTCTGAAAATATGCCAGGCTCACAACATACATATCCAACTTCACCAGATGAATGCCAAAACTTAAGTTATGGGTTACCCCAGTGTGATTCAGTGGCTTCAGGCATACCATCAGTTAATATTGACTCTTTATCACCTGTGACCCCATCTGTTAATGTGGTCTCTAGTGCTGCTGCCAATGGAAATAAAGCTGCGAAACTAAGGTAATTATTTCCTATTATTGTCCTAGCTTGTTATCAACATGTTTTTCTAGGATGTTCTATTGGAAGAACATCCTTAAATTTGCTTTATCAAAGAATGCTTGAGGTGTATATTATGCATTTCTACAGATCTTATGACATGGCTTTCAGTTGGCTATAATAGTAGTAGGATATTATCTTATCCTTTTTTGTACCTATAAATAAATGGTAGTTCCCTGATTGTTTTTATTGATAATTTATATTATTTTATTACTCTTTATACAACCTTTAAGACCTTGGAAAATTTTTCTAATTTTCTTCAGTCGGCCACAACTGGAAGCTTCATGTAGACCAAGGTCATCGGAAATGTTCTCTTTCTCAGAGTCTATAAAATCTAAATGGTCCATTGCTTCTGCCAGGTATGTATTTTTCAGTTCAGGTTTGTTTTAGACTGATATCTACTCGATGCTGAAGGCACGGATGCATTGCAACAGATACAAGGAATCAATTTCTAAAGGTACCAGAGGCCTGAAAGAGAAGCTTTTTGCACGTAATAACTCTGTTAAGGAGCTCAGCAAGGGAGTGCAGCGTGAGATGAGTGCGGGGATTGCTGGTGTTGGGAAAATGATCGAGCGCCTAGATATTGCAACAAAAAGATCTGGAGATTCTATGCCTGCTTCTGGTGGCAACGGTGGTAACTTTTTATTCAAGGGAAAGGGTGTGTGGGAAAATGTTATTGCTCAGAATTTTAATAATAACAGTGCAGAATTCCACCGTGGTTTAAATTCAGGAGCACCATGTTATCCCTCTAGTACTATCCCAGGCAAACTAGAAGTTTCTCACACCCAGGTATCACTAACTTTTCTCTGAATGTCATTCTATCAACTCATGGCTGCTAATAATTAATCATGCGGTCTAGCATCCAAGAACATAACCTGGCAATATTCTTCTAGAAACATAGCAGTCTAGTTTAAGATATCAAGACAAAATCTTGTGTACTCCAGTTTCATGTATGAATTATGCCTATATTTCAAAAGAATAAAAAAAAATGAAAGGGGGTGGGAGGTGGGGTTGGGCACTGTTAATAACAGATATTAAGAACACCAGTGGATAGAACACCTATGCATTTTTTTTTTTTAATGCTCTTTTGTTTCGGGAAAATTTCAATATATGCAATTCATTCCATAAACAGATTTTAATCAATGTAACATATTACCATGATATTCTTGTGTTTCAGAGGGATCAATGATGCTTTTGGCTTAGGTTTATGTAATGCAAGGGACGTACAGCGAGGAAACCAATTTACGGTTGGTTCGCGTCCTGCATTGCCTATATATGCAAGAAAGTTCCAAGTTGGATGTTGTATATGCCGTTTATTGTCCGGACACATCTTATGTTTTCATAAACACTGGTGGGGGTTGGAGGCGAGAAAGCAAGAATTATGACGTTTTCTCTCCTATCTGGTATGTGCTGTTTGCAGTTCGATTTCATAGAGAAGCTTGACATTCAGCTTTTTCTGTTTTCTGATTATTTGGGCTACTTTAATGTGAAAAATGCCTCTTTGTTTCTTTTTACTTTTTTCTTTTTTGAGGGGTAAGAGAATTAGGCAAATTGCTTTTCTTTCTTTTTCCTGGAGCAGAATATCATTTTCTTTTTCCAAAAAGGTGAAGCCATTAACCATTACAATTTTTTTTTCAAAAAAAGTCGAATTATCCATGTAAGAGGGGAAGGGTTTTTTTTTTTTTTTTTTTTTTTTTTAATTTTATAAGTTAGAGAAAACGAGGTTGGAGGTAGACAATCAGTCTGGGAAATTTTAAGTAAAAGGAATGACTAAATGCTTAATTTAAGATAAAATTTTTAGTCCATTATTCACATAAAGATAAAATTTTAAATATGTATCGAATTAATACGAAACGATTCTCAACTCTTAACAATTAAGTATCCTTTTCGATGGAGAAAAGGGCGTGGAAGAGACACGCCGTAAAAAGTGTGATAATTATGGAAAGTTTTAGAGTGTTGAGTTATTTTTTGTAGACGTGGCATAATTGTTGGCTACATTACAACTTTAGGTAGTAAAAAAAATAATAAACACTGATTTACTAATTAATCTCAATAAAACCAAACAACCTTATTTAATTACTTCTTTTCTTGGAAAAAAAAAAAGGGGTTTATCTTTGAGAGAAGAGCATTGATTTGCGAACAAAATCTCCATCCAAAAAATTTTCTATTTACTTGTCCTACAGATCAACAAGGAAAAAAAAATCTCAAATTTCCTTCTTTTTGTTTTTTTGTTTTTTTCCTCGAACTATGATTAATTTCTAGCTAGGCTATTATCGATTTTGTTAAAAAAAAATAGCATGATAATTCCGAGTATGAACTATTATACCACAAAAAAAAAAAAAAAAAAACCATTCTAGTAACCACCCTTTCATCTTCATTCAACTCTGTATCATCTCAAAATTGTGATGATCGTAATATCATTCTTATTACAATCTCACAATGGTTAAGAAACCAAATTTTGAGAACGAAAGAAAAAGGGAAAGAAAAAAAAATCCCAAATTTGAATAACAAACCAATCCTTTGAATTGTCCCCAAGCTCCTTCGATTTCACCAAGGAACAGATCTGAGTTAATAGCGGTTCATAAAGTCAAAGATTGGAAATTCATGATGAGGTCAAGAAGTTAAGGCCATGGCTGAGGTTGGCTACCATGGTAGTAGTTGACAGAGTGGTGAAGACGAGGCTTGGGTTATGCATTCGGTGGTGACAACAGAGACCTTGCAATTGTAGATGAGGCTTTTTATAATGGGTTTCAAAAGGAATTGGAAGCTAAGTAGATTCCAAAATGACAAATCTAATTTTTTTCTTTAAACAAGAAAATAAATTTCTTTCATTTGATGAGAGAAAAAAGTGAGAATTCAAAAAATATTTTTTTATTTAAATTAATGATGGCAATGAATGTATCGAGATAAGTTATTTTCTCTTCAAATTCAATTCGATTTTATAAGATAAATATTGAATCCTATTCAATATTAAAATATTATTTGTTATATTCAACCTAACTCACATATATATAAAATTGTAATTGACTCAATCCAACCGAAAATTAATTTAATAATTGTAATTTAATATAATATTTATCAAATATATTTCTAATATAAATTATATTTAATTATACGTAAATATAATATTTTTATTAAGTTAATATCTTAAATTAAAGTATTGTATAATAATTTTATTAATATAATACATATATAAATATAAAATTAGATAAATAATAATAAATATTTTTTATATATATTGGGTTGGGTCCAAGTAGGTTTACTTAAACTTGACCATGACCCAACCTTGACTTTATTTCAAAAATAACTGACTTGACTTGAAACTCGATTTTTATTAAAAAAAAATTCATATAAGATCATATCGGAACGAATCAAAATATCACGTATTAAGATATTATTGCCAATCCTAATTTAAACTAGTTAACTCTCTCTTGCTTCATTACATGAAGTATCGATTTTCTTTTATTTTTAAAAGTATAAATTAATAAAATTTTTATTTTAAAAAATTATAAAATAGTTATTTTAAATGAAAGAATTTTTACAAATATAATATTTATTTTAAATTCTTCTTTCTTTTTATCATTCTTTTTTTATAGATTTTTTTCTTTCATTAAAAGATTCAAAAAAATTTCATCTCATTTTAAAGATATAAATTGATAAAACTAATATGAATACTTGATAAACTTTTAATTTTTTTCAAAAAAAAAATAAAAAATATTTAAGAATAAAACCTCAAAAAAAAAAAAACACATTAAATCATACAAAAAAAAAAATTAAAACTACTATATATGTATAAATTCAAAATTATATTAACCCACTAATTAATATTTTTCAAAAAAGGTCAAAAGCCTAAAATCCATTTAATTAACTATGTAATATCAAAAATACCCATCCACCTAAAAAATATTCTAACTACACTTGTCAATTAGATAGATCATATAGTTAACTTTTATTTAACGTAAGATTATAGATGAGGCAGCTATCATGTGGCATTTTTTAACCTCCTGGATGCTGTTAAAGACATAATAGAGCATGTCTTATATGCACTCATTTTTGTCAAAATTTATCCCCGAGTGAAAAATCTTGAAAAGATAACATCCTTAATTGGACCAAGTTAAATGTTGGATCCTTATACGAGCAAAGGACCAAAGTCTTGATTACTGCTTTTCGTATAGAACCCGCAAGTGTACAAATCAAGTTATATAGTAGAGAATTTCAAGTATCGTCTCTTCAAGGATTATAAAAAATAGTATTGGATTGCTCACAATTAACAAAGGTGAAAGGCTGAGATCTTATATCTAAACAAATGAATATTTAGGATTTTAGGGTTATAAGAAATATTAAAGGTGATATTTAGGTAAAGTTTAACTTCACCAATTATCACTTGAGAAGTAAAAGATTAATCTCAACAACTAACCCTAAAGCAAGAATTAAAAGATTGCATAGTAAAAGAACTAAAGATTGTAAACAAGAAATCCTTGAAGATGCCAAATTGCATTGAAGTAAATAAACATTGTATGAAAGAAATTAAAGAACAAGAAAGAGTAATTTGGCTGATTCTTGCAAAGAAAATAAAGAAAACTTAGATCTCGAAAATAAAATGGTTGTGCTGAAATTAAAGAAAACAAGAAACAAGATTTGCAAACTTCGAAAACAAGAAAAGAAATCTTTGAATGAAAGTACTTTTTGAATGAAAAATATATAAAGAACAAAAGCTTAGTATTGGCAAATGTGTCACCTAAGCCAATATCTTAACTAAAGAAATAAAGAACTCAAAGAAACTTAGAAACTGAAAGAAAAAAAAATGAAGAGTAGGATGATTGGAATGAGGGAATGGCCTCCTTATTTATTGAATGGGATTTGGCTAAGGGGTGGGAGGTTACAAGAAGCATTTTCAAATTCAAACTCTAGGGAATAAGCTTGATCTTTATCTTCAAAGTTGCACGAAAAAGATGAACTTTTCAATCATGGATGCTTTGGCCGAACATGATGATGATCTTGGCCCTTGGTCTTCATTTGATGAAATCTTCATAACTTTTCCCCTAGGTTCAGTTAAAATGGATTTTAAGAGAAAATAAATTTGTTTTTTATCCAAACTTTTAATCTTTAAAATGATAAAGTCCTCCTTCAATCAAAACTCTTCAAAACTAAATAAAATACTCATGATTGGCTTCAAACTCCTCTTAGCCGAATGGATTAAACTTGAAGAGCCTAAATGCTTGCAATTTTCTTTCCTCTTTGCATATAGCCAAATGTACTAGTGTCTTTTTGCAAGTCATTTTCTTCATGGCTAAGCAAAGAAGCATGTTTATCTTGAACTTTCACGTTGGTTGAATGTGAAGGAGTCCAATTGGGCTTGTGCATGCTTGAATATGGACCAATGGTGGGTGGCATTATGCATGTCAAGTTGGGCCAAATGTGAGCTTTGCATGGTTATATGCATAGCTTGCATGAAAATGAGTCTTGAGCTTGAAAAACCTAAAGCCATGAAAGCAACATGAAAAACACCAAAGTTTATCCAAAAGTTTAAATTTTAGCACCATTTTGACCTATATAATTTCTATATATTTTGGTGCTATCAAACACCCATACTTGAATCTTTGCTTGTCCTCAAGCAAAACCTCAAATCAACAAAACTAAAGAACATTATAAATATCTTCAAAGTTAAAAATTATACAATACTCCTAACATGTACTTTTGCATAATACAAAGTTAAGGATAAATATAAAGTCATAAGAATGTCTTTCAAAAGCAAGCTTCCAACATCTTATGCTTATTCATACTAACAAATCTACTCCATCTTTAATTCATGCATATAGCTCAAGTAAATAAGATGCAAAACACTTCATCACATTTCAATTTAAAGATAGAATATACTTCATATGTTCACTTTCCCTATTCCTCTTCACTAATGTTAGACCTACATATGCAACTCAAAATCAAAAGGTCTTTTAGGCTTATAATGTAAGGCTTAGGTAAAGGTAAAAAAAAAAAAGAAACTTTGAGGCTAAAAAACCCAAGTTTACTTTTTTTTTCTTTCAACTTCTTGAACTTTGAACAAATGGGAGCTTTTTTTAAAATTTGACTTGTAAGGCATAACCTTATTGCTTTTTGTATTTTTGCCCCCCCCTTTTTTTTTTGCATGAAATCCATTTTTTATTTGATTAGGCTTTGCTTTTGCTTTTGCTTTTGTCAATTTATTTTTCTTTCATTTTTTCTCTTGCACCTCCCTTTCTCCTAAATACAAAAATATGTCCATGATACACAAGTAAGCCCAATAGGTTAAGACGTAAAAAAAAGGATAATAATAAAAGAAAAGGCTTATTGGACTTGTAATGTCACTAAATTAACAAAGAATAAAAAATTTAATAGGCTCAAAATAAAAGTACTAAAGATTTATTACTATAGGATGGGCTTGGAAAAGGCTTAAACGGTCCAAAGAACCACTTAGATCATCTCTTAAGTCAAATACAATCAGGATTTCACCTCAAGAGTTAAATAGGTAAATTCTATAGCACTTATTCATATCTTAAATCTTTTGTAAATCCATATCTCATAATCTTTCAACAAAAATCATAGTATTTCATATAAAGAGAATAGAGATGCATGTATA